CATGAGGCCTGCAGGGGGTGGCTGGGCCTGGATCCAATCCCTTCTCTGGAGGTTAGGGAGCCGAGATGGCCAGAGAGCCAGTGCCATGCCTGCCCAAGACGACAGCCGGCCACCTGCCCTCGGTGCGTGAGTCGGCACAGACAGACTGTGTCCTCAGCCTGACCCTGTGCTGAGTACTCAAAATACAAAGACAGGCAGGGGGAGGGAGACAATTCCGAGGCCCTCAGAGGCAGGTCGGAGGCCGTGAGGGGCCCAGTCAGACTGGCTTCAAATCCTGCCCTGCCATTCACCAGCTGGGTGACCGAGCAGGCCACTGAATGCCTCTGAGCCTCTGTTTCCTCATCTATAAAAGGAGCAAATTAAACAACAGTGCCCACTTGGCAGGGTTTTGTGAAGATGAAATGAGATATGAGAGAGAACGTGCTCAGCACAGCCTCAGGCGTTGGGCTGGGGCCCCATGAGTGCTCAGAAGCCCCCAACCCTTCTGAGACGGGGCTCCCTCCCTCCCCCTTGCTCTGTGGTCTGATACTCAGCAGGGAAAAAAAAAAACGAAGGCCTGCATACACACACACACATGCTCACACATGCTCGCGTGCTATTTACACAACAGCAATTCTGTAGGACTATAAAGCAATTCTAACCAAGTTTTTCTATGCGATAGGATCCATGGAAGGATTTTAGTGTTTACCTTATATAGCTCTGTTGATTATGTTAATTTAATAATAAAAAAATAAACAGTTTTAAAATTGTTTTGTTGCTCTGGGCCAGGCACAGGATCAGACACGTCTGATACAGCATCCCGACTCCTTACAATGTCCTTCCCAGGAAGGTCACATTATCCCCGTGTTAGAGATGAGCAGGTGGAGGCTTGGAGAAGTGAAGTGACCTACCAAGGACACACGGCTTACCAATGATGATGCCAGGATCTGACCCCAGTACCGGAATCCGGAATACAGAGCAATTCTGCTTGGCAAGTCAGGGAAAGCTTCGCTGAGGAACTGATATTTGAGCTGAGCCTGGAAAGCTGAGTAGCACTTCTCTCGGCCAGGGTTCTCAACCAGGGGGGGATCTGGACCCCAGGGGACATTTGATGGAGTCTGGAGACATTTTTCGTTGTTACACCTTGGAGGGTGAGTGCTACTGGTCTCTGGGAGCAGAGGCCAGGGATGCTGCTAAACCTCCTATAATGCACAGGATTGCCTTGCACAACAAAGACTTACCTGGCCCCAAATGTCAATAGTGCAGAGTATGATGTGGCGCACTAGGGCTGTCATTTATTGAGTGCTTACTAGGTGCCGAGTGAAGTACTAAGTTCTTCAAATGTCATCCTATTTAATCCTAACCCCATTGCTCCCATGCTGTCAGTGAGGGACCTGAGGCTCAGAGATGGTAAGTAACTTTCCTGAGGTCACACAGTCAGAAATGGTAGGGGCCAGGATCAGAGCTGCCCGGTACACAGCCAGAGCTCTTGACCTTTCTGCTCCCAGGATTTACAATAAATATAAAAGTTCCAGGTCAATGGCTAGGCGGGGTGCGAGGAGATTGGCTGAGCCCAGGCCCAGCATCCTCTGACCTCAAGGCCTTGGGCAAGGTCCCCTCCCTCCCCCTCTGCCATTTCCCCATCTGTCACATGAAGTTTGCACCAGACGATCGCCAAGGCCCTGCCAGCTCTGAGTCTGTTATTCTCTGGGAGAGGGGCCCAAACCCAGGCTCTGGGAGCCCCGGGGATGAACCACCAGCTGCTGGGAGAGGAGGGGGTGTGCCGGGCAGGCCCAGCCTCATTCCTGGTGCCTAAAGAGCTAATGAGCCCTGCTTCCTCACTAGGAGGGAGAGGCAGATGGGGGTGGGGAGTGGCTCGAACCTCACCCAGGTGCTTACTTCTCGGGTGGGGAGGGATGTTTCTCTGCCACCTTCTTGCCAAGCCCAAAGGAGGCAGCAAAGCAAGGCCTCCTTCTCAGGTGAGAGAGGCGGGTCTGGGCATTCACCCAGCTGGGCACAGGAGTTCTCCCAGGTAGACGGAGCAAGGATGGAGTGCATGCTGATCCAGCCCCTACCACGTGCCAGGCACCTCAAATAGCAGGTTCATCTCAGGTGAGCCTCACGAAAATCCTGGTAGGAAAGAATCATCTGACCCCAGTTTACAGACGAGAGCATCAAGGTATCCATGACATGACTTGCCGAGTGACACATGCAGTGCTAAAGGAAGGATTGGAACCCAAGGGTGTCTGACCCCAGAAGAGTACTCTAGAGAGTAAATGAGTGACAGTCATGTTTTCCTTTTTACCCAAGAATGAAAGTGGTTTTTTGTTTGTTTTTTTTTGTTTTGAGGAAGATTAGCCTTGAGCTAACTGCTGCCAATCCTCCTCTTTTTGCAGAGGAAGACTGGCCCTGAGCTAACATCCATGCCCATCTTCCTCTACTTTATATGTAGGACGCCTACCACAGCATGGCGTGCCAAGCGGTGCCATGTCCACACCCGGGATCCGAACCGGCAAACCCCGGGCTGCCAAAGCGGAAAGTGCGAACTTAACTGCTGCGCCACTGGGCAGGTCCAGAAAGTGTTTTTAATAACGTTTGGAGAAAACATATATTCAGTTTCTCCTGCATTCCCCAGGACACGGAATGGACCACAAAAACCTGAAACAATAATTCTGATTTCCTGGTTTGCAGTCAGAGGAACTCAGGCTCAGCAGGCAGAGGCCTCTCCAGCTAGAAAGTCAGACAGGGAGGGGCGGTGGTGGATCTGGCCAGGGCAGGCTGTGCTTCCCAGCCCGGCTCTCTCTCGTCGTCTGGGAGTGTGGCTTTGGGTAAGCCGCATCACCTCTCCAGACCTCAGTGTCCACATCTATATAGTGAAGAGGTTGGACAGACGGTCACAGACAGAGTCCCTTCCAACCTCACAACCTGCACCCAGTCCTGTCAAAGGCTCTCTTCTCCTCCCTGTTTATGTGACTTCATAGACGGGGAAATGGGGACACCAATGCCTGGCACAAGGGGCTCTGGGGGTGGAGGGCCAATGCCAGCCTTGTGCAAGCTCCCAGAGCCCCCAACCCTTGCTCACCCTCTGAGGGGGCCTCCATCCTTAGAGAGCCAGACTGGAAGGGAGTCAGTCACGGTTTGGGGATGAATAGGAGAGGGAGGGGGTGATGGTGAAAATGGGGCCATTTCTCCTGGGGCCAACACTCATCTCAGTGGGCATCTGCTAGGTGCGGGCTGACTCACATATCGGGAGGACCCTCTACAACACAGGGAAAGTAGTTATTTAGCTCCTGCTTAAGCATAAACAAACAAACAAACAAAAAGCGAAAACAAACACATAGATACAGAGAACAGATCGATGGTTACCAGAGGGGAAGGAGAGCTGGGGGAGAGCGAAATGGGTAAAGAGGATCAGTTGTATGGTGACAGATGGAAACTAGATTTTGGTGGTGAGCACGCTATAGTATATACAGAAGTTGAATTAAAATGTTGTACACATGAAACTTATTAAAAAAAAAACCTTCTGCCTCCAAAGGCTCCACACTCTGGGGCCAGCTCAGGCCAGTGTTGGTCATTCATTTATTCATTCATTCACTCTTTATTGGCGTGTACTGTGGGCCAGGCCTTGTGCCAGGTTTGGGGTCACAGATATGATGAATAAGAGACTGTCTCCACTCTGGGCAACTGTGTGCTAGATCGGGTATCGTAAGACCAGAGACATGGGGCTGCTGGATTTAAATGGTTTAGCTTGAGAAAAAGATTCTGGGCTCAAATAAGCTTGGGAACCATTTTAGTAAATACAGTGAAGCCTTTAATATGCAAATATACATGGTGGATCCTCCAAGAGGGGGCATAGTGAATATAGTATATTTCCCAAATATAGCTGATCCTGGAACATTTCTTTTTAAAACATACTTGTTAACAGTGAGTATTTGGGGAAGTGTGGCTCTCATGCTACTTTTTGGCCAGTGGAGCTTGGGCCAAAAGTCCTACACAGAGAGGACATTTGCTCAAGGCCTTGAGAGTTGAGTAGGAGTTGGTTAGGGAAGATGGGAGACCAATTATAGTCCTAGGCTGACTGTGCTCACATTACCCTGCACGTACTGTTCCACTTAGTCCTCAAAGGTCCTGATGTGGGTGCCAAGGAGGTCATCAAAAGGCCCTGGAGACTCCTAGAGGTCCACCCCTTCCCTTTTCTCCAAACACCTCATCTCAGTGCCTTATTCTCCAAATCTTGAATCTTCAAGTCCTGGCCTCACACTCAACATAGCCTCTACTCCAAAATGGTTCTTACAGTATCTGCACTTGATCCCAGCCTTAGCCCCTCACAGACCCTGGCCTAGCCTCTGGCAACCAACCACCCTCTCAGGAGCTTGCTGATCCTAACTTAGACCTCTATTAGATTTAATCCTGACCTGCCCAGCCAATCCGGCCCTGGTTCTGCCTCCTAGGTCCTGATGCACCTGAGGGAGCACGACCGCATGGCTGCCCCCAAGCCTGCCAGAGCTCAGCTACTCCATACAGTGCTGACCCATCCTCAGATGGAGGCCCCGCCCCCTCCCCTGCCTAGCCCCGACTGTGTTCCCATCCCCATCTCTGTCTTGGTCCCCAAATCTGCCCTGTGCTATTCTGATGCGGGGCCCTGATCACAGGTCCAGCCCTCACGACCCCTGACAGTGGCCCTGCCCGTGCCCAACTCTGATTCGGCCCCATCCTCAACCCTGCCCCAGCCCTGTAACCGCTCCAGCTCTGATCTCAGTTGTCCCCGACGTCCCACGCCACCGGTGACCTATCCTAACCGCGGACCCACCCCCACTCCTGGTTTATCTCCGACCGCGTCCAGCACAGACCGCCTAAGGCCCCGCCCCCAACACCCCGCCCCTCGCCGCGATCCCGCCCGGTCCCCGCCCCGTACCAATCTGATAGGGCCCTGACCCTGCCGGCGGCCCCGCCCCGAGACACTTCTGACTGTGCCCTGCCCCCGGTCCAGCTCTGACCCCGCCCCCGGCCCGGCCGCGCACCTGCAACTCCTCGAAGGCATCGTCGATGCCGGTGACCTGGTGCTGCTCGTGCAGTGCGGGCTCGTCGCAGAAGAAGCAGAGCAGCGCGCGGTCCGTGAGGCAGAAGAGCTTGACCTTGTCGTGCGCCTGGCAGGGTCGCGCGGCGCGGCGCGCGTTGAGGATGGCGTCCAGCGGGAAGGCGCTGTAGCGCTCCACGATGTTGGCCAGCTTGAGGCTGGGCGCGAGCGCGGGCTCGGCGAACGTGCGCCGGCACTCGGGGCAGTCGCGGGCGCCCTGCGCCTCCTGCCGCACCCAGTGCTCCGTGATGCAGCGGCGGCAGAAGTAGTGCTCGCAGCCCAGGCTCACCGGGTCCTGGTAGATGCTCAGGCAGATGGAGCAGAGCAGCTCGTCCTTGAGGCTACACGCCATGGCGCCGGGGGCAGGAGATGCAGGGGGGCGGCTGAGGGAGCGCGGCGCTGTCGGGGGCAGCACCGAGGGCTGGGTACGGGGAGCAGGCCCGGAGAGGCAGGAGTAGTAGCTACTGGAGAAGGAAGGAGGGCTGTCCGGGAGGGGGGCAACTCGAGGAAAGGGAGCGGGGTAGAGACTCCCGGCATGCGACCCCGGGAGGGTGGTCTCAAGGTAGTGGGTGACCTGGAGCGATGGGTGCCCGGAGGGTGGGGGCCGTGGGTGTCTGAGGGAAGGGTCTCCTGGCAAGGAGGTTCTAGTGGAAGGGACAGCCCGAAGGAACGGGTGCTCGGAGGAGCGGATCTAGGAGGGGGGCGGAGGCCTTGAGGGGGTTGAAATCCCGGGATGGGTGCGGTGGGGGGGGGGGGGGAGGGTGGGGGGGGGGAAATCTGGGGGGGGGGGAAGCCAGGCGGAGCCGCACCGCGGCTGTGCCTGGCAGAGGAGCGGAGGGGTGCGAGCACGCTCAGCTGCCCGATTCCGGCCCCAAGACCCTGCCCGGCGCGGCCCCTTACCCTCGCCGACTCAGCGGCCACTGCTCCGGTCCGAGCGCAGCCTCTCAACCCGGAACCAGCCAAGCGCGAGCGGCCGGTGGCCGTGGCTCCCTCCCCGCCCCCGCGGGCGGGGCCCGAGCGACTCCGCCCCCGCGGCGGGCGGGGGAGAGGAGGGGCGGGGCCCGGCCTCCAGCCTCCGGACCACCTCCCCGCCCCCATCATTCTTCTGCTCCCCGGGGAGCGAAACCCAGCTGTTCTTTCTGGGTTTGCCCGCCAAGCAACATCCAGATCTCGCTTAGGGTCCCTGCGGCGGCTGGGCGGCGGGGGACGGCTAATTTAAGAGGATAACAGTAAACAAGGAGCATCTTTCCGGACCATCAATTTCAAGATTGAGGAAAAATAATATTTTGTGTTAAAACAAACAGGGATATGTCGTGTAATCTGCATAGAATAAAACTTTTGCATAAAATATAAAGATAAAACTCGAGAAATGCCCTGCTTACTCAGAGCGCACGTTCAGGACCCCCACACTCCTAAGCCCTGGGGTCCCGTTTCCTCTTCACTTTCTTAAAGAGTGCTTGGGGGGGAAGTTTGGAAAGTCCTGCCCTTGGGTAATGTCTGACCCAAGGAGTTCTCTGCATTCAGCAAACATTTCTGGAGTTCTATATTTGTTAGGGCAGGGGGGAGGGGAGGGAAGAGGGGGTGGAGCAGGAGAGAGGGAGAAAGAGTAATAGGAGACCTTGTCTTGTGTGCCAGATGGAGAGGGGATAAGGGATTTCTAGGCGGAGGGGACAGCATGTGCAGAAGCATGGAGGCGTGAAAGGGGAGGGCACATTTGGGGAGATGCACAAGCAGTTGTGTACTGTTGGAGGTGGGGTGGGGAAGGGGCTTGGGTGTTGAGGGTCATGGTAAAGGATTTCCTGAAGGCACTGGGGTTTCCAGCAGGGGAATAACCTGGGCTGGTGTGGGTTTCAGGAAGTCAGGGAGATGCTCCTTATGCCATCAGCAAGGTGAAGGCTGGGACCCTTTCTGATCTGTCTGCATATGTACAGCGCCGGGCACCGGAAAGGTCTGTAGCTGAATGACAGCAGCAAAGATGTGGATTGCAGGAAGAGAGATGGGACACCAGTCAGGTCACTGTTGTCCTAGTGCCTGCAGGAGGTGAGACCTGAACTGGGGCCATGACAATAGGTCAGGAGAGAAGGCTGGGGTATTGAAAGTGTAGACGCTATGAAATTTGGAATGAATTGGATATGGGGATGAGAGAAAAGGAGGCATCGAGAGTGGCTCCCCAGTTCCTCCAGAAATGTCTTCACTGCAGTTAAACTTTATTGAGGTACAATTTAAGAAAGAGCTCGAAGTTTACTCCTCTGCTGTTTATGACTCCTCCATCTCACCATCACCTGCTCCCGTGTCCCCATCATTGCCAGAAACAAGGTGGTTGCTCATGCAACAGCCATTCCTCGAGTTTTCCTTGCAGTCAGAGCCCTCATTTTGTTCAGGTGGCCCCCTTCCCCATGTGACCAAGGGAAGGCTGACCCCAACCCACTCCAGGAGTAAGTCCCATTTGGTTTGAGTCCACTGTGGTGGTTGCGTTCCTCTTGCCAGTGTGGTTTGGGCTCAGACATGGCTGATCTGAGAAGCCAGAGGGGAAGGCTATGGAAGAAAGGGGGCTTCTGGAAAGGGTCTCTTCACTTTCAAAAACACTCTGCCCCCTTTGCTGGGTGTGGATGTGTTTGGTGGCGATGCTTGGAATCACACTTAGAATTGCAGGCACCTTGCTCCCAGTCTGAGGATGCAGCCAACATGTGACTGAGGCTGGGAGTGTCCTAGGGAGGAGGAGCTGGTGCTCTGACGCAGAGCCCACGCTTTGGGATATATGAGATGGTCCATCTTATTGCTTAAGCAAGTTTAATAGCAGTGTGCTGTCACTTGGCAACCAGAAGAATCCCAAATGATACACTGACTTTTTTTTTTTGTAGAGAAGGCAGGGTCTAAATTATTGAAGTACTTGAAGTGAAATGAAAAAAGTCTCAATGATGGATGAAACACTGGGCTTCATTTATCCTGCGTGTGATCCATCCTCTTCGATAGCAACATAGTAGCTGGAGAAATGGTTGGTCTGCTCTTAGATGCATTTTCCAGCTGCTCTTGAACCAGTGTGTGCCTTTATGACTAAGTCCTTTCCAATAAAATATAAATAGAAACAGTCCTTAACGCATTTACTGATATTGACTCTGGGCCTGCGTTGTGCAAGGGATGGAATAAACTATGGCCCGTTAATCTCAAGGAGCTTGCGGTCTAGAGGGAAAACAATGTGAACTCCTTATCAAGCCCAGCAGGGTTTACTGAGCGCTCTCACATAAATTATTGGATCTGAGTCTCATAGCAATGTAAACCAGTAGATATTATTATCCCCATTTTATAGAGGAAAATACTGAGGCTCAGAGAAAGGAGATGTGGAAGAAATTGCTAATTGTCTATCAAAATCCCTCCTCCTCTTCTTCTGTACCAACATAGTGGATGGAGAAATGGCTGGTCCACTAGAGACCGCACTTTCCAGCTGCTTTTGCAGCCGAGTGTGGCTTTGTGCCTAAGTCCTTTCCGACAGAACATAAATAGAAATAGTCCTTAAGGCAATGAGCTTTTGCTCTTCCATGCTCCATTTCCTCTTCCCTCGAGTTGGAACACAGATGGTGCTGGGACCCAGCTTCAATAGCGCTTCAAAGGGGCTGACGGAGCAAAGATAAGGAAGGAACCTGGGTCCTGAATGACTACGTGGAGTGGAGCCACCCATCACTGTGGACCAGAGAGTGAGAAATAAGCTTCCATTTTCTATGAGCCATTGTATTTGGGGTCTCTTTGTTGCAGCAGCTTAGCCTTCCCTATGTTGTCCTGTAGCTGCTTTTAGAACGAGCTCTGGTACTATTTTATGCTATTGTCTGAATCCTTTCAGTAGCTAAGTTCCTCTTCGTGTCTAGCTCCAGTCTCTTCCAAAGTGGATGGAACATGGTTTTCTCTGGCTGAAAGTCACAGTCTCTTTGACTTTTCACAATACTTTCCAGCTTTTAGTCTTTTCCCCCTTGGAGCTATTCTTCTCCTGACCTTACTCCATCTAAGTTAATATGCAGAGCACTACCCTCACTCCAACTGTTGGTTATAATTAGGTTTGGCAAGTCATTGCTCTTTCTGGATCTGTTTCCCCAACCTGATGCGGCTGAGGGGTCTGAACTAAGACTTGGAGGTCCCAGCTGCAGTGTTTGCCGCCTGCTTCCGTTCATACCCTGAAAAAGAACATCAGGAATTTTTTTTTGAAAGCTGTCCAAGAGATATCTTTGAGTGGAAGAAAACAAAACAAAACAAAGGAAGACCCAAACAGACACACAGACACGGACATGCACAGACATGGACATGTGCAGACATACAGTGCGCACACGCATTATTTGTACAGCAAAAATCTGTAGCAATTCTAACCATGTTTATCTATGGGCTGGCAGGGCGTGGATTTTAACTTTTACATTGTATAGCTCTGTTGTTTATTATTCAATTTTATAATCAGAAAAAAATAAAGATATAGTTGATCTTTATTATTCATGGATCCCATATTTGCAAACTCACCTAATCATAAAATTTATTTGTAACCCCCAAATCGTGATTTGAGGCGCTTTCACGTCATCTGTGGACATGCGCATGCACAGAGTGGTGAAAATTTAGACTTGCGTGTTCCCAACGGAGGTTGCACAAGGCAACGCTCTGCCTTCTTGTTTCAACTCTTATACTGTAAACAAGTATCTTTTTTGTGCTGTATTCAGTGCCACAATTTTCTTATTTTTGCTGGTGAGTTTGCTGTTTAAAATGGCTCCCAAGCATAGTGCAGAAGTGCTGTCTAGTGTTTCTAAGTGCAAGAAGGCTGTGATGTGCCTTAGGGAGAAAATATGGGTGTTGGATAAGCTTCAGTCAGGCAGGAGTTACAGTGCTGTTGGCTGTGAGTTCAATGGTAATGAATCAGCAGTATATATTAAATAAAGTGTCTTTAAACAGAAACACACATAAGACCAGGTTATGTATTGCTCCATTGATGAAAATGTGGCCAGAGGCTTGCAGGAACCGAATGCAGTATTTCCCCAAGGAGCAATTGTTCTGTATTCACCATTTCAGTCTTTGCATCAACTTTATAGAACATAACTACTTTGAATAACAGAGTCAACTGTATTTAAAATTGTTGTGTCTAGCAGCATCTACCAATCCAAGGTACCGGCACCGACATCCTTTTCCATCCAGGTAACATTGGCTCAGGCCCACTCGTAGGGGGAAGGGCAAGAGAATGAACACGGAGCCACTCCCATGTGCCAGGCACTGGGCTTAGGAGGTTCGGTCCATTGTTTTATTTAATCCTCATGACAGCCTTCCAGACTTGACATTTTTCTCCCCATTTGCAGGTGAGGAAACTGTAGCTCAGAGGGGTGAAGTGACTTGCCTTAAGCCAGAGCAAGTAAGCAGCATGGACTCCTCCACCCCAAGCTGGCGGAGAAGATTCCACAGTTATGCAGCCTGGAGCTGGGCCAAATCTGGGCCCTCAGCTCCATCTGATGGTCTTTATAGATGGTCCAGCTGGGCCCCCTTGCTCAGTCCCTTCCCCACCATTCCAAACCTTTGCCTGTCTGCTCCAGGCCCATAGACACACCCCTGCTCCTTTCTCAATGGGAGATCTTGCATTCCACTCAGGGAAGAAAGCAGAACCCCTGAAGGGGGGCCGGCAGGGATGGACTTCTCAACTTCTAGTTCCCCTCAGCCTATCAACTTATCTATAGAAATGCCTCAAGTCCTCTTTGAAATGAGGCTGAGGGTAAAATAAACAAATGGGTGAAGTTAATGCATTTGTCACTTGTCCGACCTCACCTCCTTTCCTCTAGTCTGAGGATGAAGTACGCCTTCTGTTCAGACCCAGTTCCTCCCCCTGGGCCCTGGTCTGATCTCCGCGGACCTCCTCTGGGACCGACTCCTTCCATTATCCC